AATATGAAAAGTTAAGTTCTAAGTATATAAATTCCTATAACACTTATTATCATCTCAAATAATATCCAAATTGATCTAAAAAGCAGATTGATTTAGTACAGGGGCAGCCAAAATTAGGCCTTCTAGCTGTGGTGAACTACAAATCCTATCATGCATCTGCCTCTGGGACTCATGTCTGTGGCTTTCAGAGTCTTGCAATGCTTAATGGAATTCGTAGTTTCATCAAAGCTAGAGGATCAAAGTTTGGCTACCCCACATTTATACCATAGGCTAGCCAAACTTGAATGGGTAAATGATCATGTATATGTGTAAGCTTAAAGGAGAACTATGAGGTGAGTGATTTCCACTCACCTCATAGTTCTAGCCGACCTGTGACAATGAGACTGTCATGCAGCTGGGCGGATCCCGGCACAATTGTCAGGATCCGCTTCAGCTGCGGCGTCTCAGTATACCGCGAGCTACAGCTCGCGGTATACTGAGCCCAGGTTGGCGGGAGGACGCTAGTTTGTGTCCTCCCGTTACCCTAAGGAGAACTATGGGGAAAAGCCTTAACCCCATAGTTCTCCTTTAAGATGGCAGAAACATAATACTAGAGAGGAATGTACAAAACCAGAACCTTGTCTGGGGAGGTTCTCATTCATCCAGGTCATGGTATATCTGTAACAAATAAGCCAAGGCAACTGGACTTGCTGTATTTTTCTTGAAGACGTTTCACTGGTCACCCGACCAGCTTTCTCAATTCAGAAAGACTTGCAGAAAAATTATCTGGGAATAAATATGGAGAGTGTTGCTCCAATCCACATAATCTGTTAAATATAACCAGCTTGGGGTCAGAGACCTCATTGAGGTAAGGTGTGGATCTACACCTCACAGATTATGTTAACTGGAGCAACATTCACCATCATTTATTTTTGACAGATAAAACCAGAACCTTCTACTTTCTCATAATCATTCAATGCACATTAACTGAACATTCGCCAGCTTTACCCAAAGCTACTGTATGTTAAGCTTTCACTGCCTATTCACCTAATCAGAATCGGCCACTAGAGGTCAGTACAGAGGAGAAGACCGAGTCCTTTACTTCTTTTGTTTCAGCTAACAACTAGTTACAGTGCATTAACTTCTAAGGGCTAGTTCACACCAAGCGCAGAGCAGAGCAGTTACAGAACGCATCAAAACTGCGTCCAATGTATTCCAAAAGTATTTTTGGGCTCTCATTCACACCAGAGCATTCAGTTCCAGAGCATGCGGAAAAACTGCAGCATGCCCTATTTTTTTCGCTCTGGAACGCACCAAAATGCATACAATTGCATAATAAATGCATGCAAACACCCTCGAACGCACTGAAACCCCATTTTAAGGCTAAAACAAAAACTAAAAAGTTATTTTTTTAAAACGGCCAAGAACGCGTCAAAAACATGGCAAAACATACTGCACTGCATGTGCAGAAACTCATGCAGATCTGGTGCGCATTTGGTATGAACAAGCCCTAAGCCACCCACGTACCTTAACCCCTTCATGACTGAGGCCCTTTTTTCCATTTTTGCACCCATGTTATATTCCACATTTTAGGCCTGAAAATGACGTAAAACCCCCCAATTTTTTCACATTTGATCTTACCCTACCATTGATAGCTCTGGTACCGTGTGAACGGCGTCTGCCCAGCTATACGCTAGGCAGAAATTTTATAAAGAAACCCAAAAGTGTATTTCTACTTTTGCAGCCAAATTGGGATGACACCTACTTCATATTTGTAACATGTTCCCAGTCTTCTCTGGGGCCCTTTTGGTTCCTTTTAGCCCACCTAACCATAACCTGTCTGGATGTAGTCATTTATTCTATGAAACCCAAACAGGACCTCTGTAGTCCCTGGACCTCAAAAATAGCCCCTGTACAGCAGCACCAGTTATATCTTTATGGGAAAGAAAGTGGCGGAACACCAGGGACTGTTCACATATGCATCCGCTGCATCCCTTCCTTTCTGGGTTCCCCAAGTGGCACATGCGACTATTGCGACCCTGGTAGTCCCGCCAGTGACTCAGCTGTAGATCCTCAAATCATCTCTGAATTGGTGCTGACACTGTCCTTCCTTCTGGAGGGTGGCTACTTTTGTTCCCCATGGTCCCTGTGTGTGTTGTAAAGTAGCCACCGCTCCAAGCTCGCTCCTGTGATGGACTACAATCTCATGTTTAGTTTACTAATTTGTATTGAGATTGTAGTCTATCACAGGAGCGAGCTTGGAGCAGTGGCTACAGCTGAGTGATACACAAATAAGATGCATTTTTGTTAATCGTTAGGGTACTTTAGTGCATTTTTAAAATGTAACTCCAGAGTTTAGTGTCACTTTAAACTGGGCCCCTTTGCCTGTCCAACCCTGCATGTGAGGCCCGGTGCAGACCTCCGCGATCCATAATCGCGCGCCCCGGGATCGCGTGGTCCTGCACAATGCAGGCAGCGATTGCCACACGGCCCCATTGATTTCAATGGGGTGACATCTTCGCAGCAATCGCAGAAAAAAGGAACATGTACGACGCGCAGCTGCGGGAAATCGTTCAATCCGCCCGGCGCGACTGGAGTGCCATTCGAAAATAATGGCACCCACAGCGCTATTGGTTCACACCTTGGCGACTCCTGACCGCGCGGAATCGTGCACAATTGCCGCTCGGTGAGGTGCCATCTAGGTGTGCACCGTCCCTGAGTCAAACACATATTATAATACAGCCAAGATAAAAACAAATCGCGTGTACCAGATTGTAAGCTCTCATGAGCAGGCACCTCCTAACCATCCTGTATTGAAATTGTATTGAATCTGTACTGTCTCCCTCCATTTTGTAAAGTGCTGCTCAAACTGTCGGTGCTAGATGAATCCTGTATGATAATAATAATGTCTGTAACTGGTTATACGACACCATGATCGCACGAGATTATTGCTCCTATGAGGGTGACAGTTCCGTCAGTCTTGTCACTGTCCTATCTCCCAGTAATATACTGTATGACCCTTGGCACTTGTCTTGTCACTTAGAAAGGAAGTCACTAATCTTCTGCATTCCAGACCCTTATGAGAGGAAACTAAAGTGACAGCTAGTATATGTAACTCTGAATGGGGCCAACTAAGGGCAGGATAAGGTCATATTATCCATTCATGTGCCGATTATCAGCAAAGAAATGTCATTGTAGGCTGTCAAAAGGCCCTGGCATGGTCCACAGTGACTGAAGGAGCCAAATTTAAAATGAAGTACAGTCTAACATTTAGCAATATTCTTTTAAACAATTGTGCACTTTTCTTTGGAACAAATGTGCACTTATAACCTTGTGACAACAGTTTGGGGAAGCCTCTTTTCTGTTACAGCAATGGTATGTCCCTGTAGTCGAAGCCATCTCCGTAAAGACATGACTAGATGAGTTTGGTGTGGAGGAACTCTAGTGCCCTGTTCAGAGCCCTGACCTCAACTCTGTTGGGTCATCACGTCTGCACCTGATCTCACAGATGCTCTTTTGGCCTCATGTGCACAAATCCCCAAACTCCAAATTTTTGTGGAAAGCCTTCCCAGAAGAGTGGAAGGTGTCATAGGTTAAAAAAAGGGAGGGGAGGCACTCAATACTATTACTAATATCTATGGTTTTGGAATAGGATGTCCAATACATTTCTATAGATGTGATTTTCCAATATCCACAAATCTTTGCCCAGATAGTGTAGTGTGGTATGGGTCTTATGTATGTCTTTGTGCTACGATTGTGTTTACATTGCTGGGGGTTCCTTATTTTTTAAAAATATTTTACTGCATTTATTCCATTTTATCAAACTCCTTATTTTTTTATTTTTTTTACTCTCACAAGGGGGTTGACAGTATACACAGAAGGTCACAATATATATATGATTTAACAGTATACACACATGGTCACCCCTGATGCCTCCCCTGAATGCTGGGGATGGAGATTAGGGACTCAAAGCGTGTTATGGCCCGTGGTGTCTCCCCCTGTGTGCTGGAGATGGAGATTAGAGACTCAAAGCCTGTCATGGCCCCTGTTGTCTCCCCTGAATACTGGAGATGGAGATTAGGGACTCAAAGTGTGTCATGGCCCCTGATGTCTCCCCTGAATGTTGGAGATAGAGATTAGGGACTCAAAGTGTGTCATGGCCCCTGATGTCTCCCCTGAATGTTGGAGATAGAGATTAGGGACTCAAAGTGTGTCATGGCCCCTGATGTCTCCCCTGAATGTTGGAGATAGAGATTAGGGACTCAAAGTGTGTCATGGCCCCTGGTGTATCCCATGTGTGTGGAGGATGGAGATTAGGGACTCAAAGTGTGTCATGGTCCTTGGTGTCTTCCCCGTGTTCTAGAGATTGGTGACTCAAAGCATGTCATGACCCCTGGTGTCTTCCCTGAATGCTGGAGATGAAGTTTAGGGACTCAAAGCATGTAATTGCCCCTGGTGTCTCCCCTGTGAGCAGGAGATGGAGATTAGGGACTCAAAGTGTGTCAATGGTCAAAACTGCCTGATTGCAATTTTTATTATGCATTATGAGGGATGCAGCATGAGCACTGACTTTCTATTGTTGGAATCAGTCCAACTGTATTTGCTAACCCCTTTGTTGTGGGTGACCTTTTCCTTTGAACACATCAAAGTAGAAAATGTGGCTGAAGCTGTGGGTTCCTAACGGATAACACAACATGTGTTTAATTAAAAAGATCAACTGCTGCGGAAAACTGAGAAATTTGAAGATCAAAAGCTAAGATTAAAAAATTAGCTCCGGAGAATATGCAAAATGTTTCCCAAAATAGCACAAATAATGAGCAGTGGGCATGGCAGATAATTGGAGAGTGAATTTGTTAAGGGGGGCAGGGAACAGACAGAAATGAATTGCAATACCCAAGCAGGGTTGAAGCAGGACCAGAGGTATTGTGATCGTGTGTGTGTGTTTTAATATCTACACATCCAGGTTGTTTTTGCACAGGAATTTTGGAGGGAGTGGAGGGGCATTGCATGCTCAGTCCTGCATCTGTTTGTGTGAGTGGGTGGCATTACACCATACTAGCTTTCTCTTTTGTAATTTGACTCTAGGATTCAGGTTCAGCAGACCCAGGTAATCAGTAACCAGACTGGATCATCCGATGAGACAAGAGGTGGTGTGATTCTGCTTCTCCCCACCCAAATCTGGGCTTTAGACGGTAAACTTTGTGAGTACTGTAGCCCTTTTCCTATTTTTCCTATTCTGTAAGGCTTGTGTACTGTTATTCTTCCTATAACCATATATTATTATTTGCCTGTAAAACTCTCACCTGTCAAGTGTAAGGATCAGAACTATTTGCTGATAACCCGTGATCAATTGCAGGTTGTACCAGTGGTGCTTGCCCAGGGTCACGCCATGATCCTATCTGGCTCCTTTTTGATGTTGACCTTCTGCATAGTCCTTGGACCACTCCAGATTGTGGCAGAGGAGGGTGACTATGAAGAAGAACTTGTCCTCAGGCTTGTCATGGAAGAAGATGCCCAAGCTGACAGCGAGAAGAAGACGACTCCTGGGCTTTTCCTGTGGAGTAACAAGGTAAGAAAAAAAATCTGCTTGGTTTACCATTAAATAATGTCCTGAAATGTGCACGATATATTAAAGTCTACCTAATTGTCCCAATGACCTATTTATGATACGGAAGCTGTGAAAAGCATTCATTGGGTTAACTTAATTCTATGGTTTTGTGGCACGTGTCAGAAACAGCATCACTCATGAAGATGCCGAAGATGATTTCATACTTTTTACTTTAATGTCGGTAACTTGTTTTTCCCTTTCACTTCAGCTCAGAAGACAGTATGGTTTTCTTACATGTTACTTTGTAACTGATTGAACTGTAAGAGAAATTTATAATATATATGACCACATATATAAATCCTATGCTGCTGGCCCTTTAAATTACTTAACAGTAGGATGGGTTCCTGATCATGTGACTGCTGTGACAGCCAGTCAAAGCAATCATATGACCAGGAGCCTGTCCCCGGTTCCTCATCGTAAACAGTGACCGGGATCTGTTGTTGGCAACATGGTGACTGTGCTAGGACCACGCAGTGAGCATTCCAGCAGAGAACAGCGGACGCATATATGTGGCGGCCGGATGATAAAGCCACCGCATATATGCGTGAGCTGGTCAGGAAGGTGTTATTATTGTTATTATTGTTATGTTTATCATTACATCATTTCTGATATGATTTTTGTATTTTTTGATTTTCCTTATTTTTGTTATTGTATTACTATAGTGATTTCTAGGCTACCCACTAGGGGGAGCTCTCAGTGGCTCAGTGCAATTACTCTGTTTCTTAAGATGCGATGTCAGCCATACAGCGAGTTTTCTACAAAGTTTTGGCTTCTGTCCTGCTGTAATAAATGCTCTTTTCTTCTGATGCGGCATCACAGGACTCCTGGAGAATGTCCGGCCAATACGTGGTGGTGCTGAAAGAAAATGTACACAAGTCACAGACGGAAAGGGTGATCGGTCGCCTGCAGACCAGGGCAGCAAAGCACGGCTATCTGACTAAGGTTCTTCATGTCTTCCATGAACTCTTCCGGGGCTTTGTGGTTAGGATGAGCAGTGATCTGTTAGAGATGGTGAGTGACCTCATTTGTCAGCGTTGGTTGGGGATTTGTATAAACCACGGGGCCAAGGAATAATACATTCCAGCTGTGTCAATGACTTTATTGCAAATAAATATGTGCTAGCAGTAGTTTTAAACAAGTTTTTAGCTGACTTTTAGGCTAGGTTCAAAATACAGATTTCCATTGAAGTCAATGGAGGCTGTTCACACCTTTGCAGTTTGCCGTGCAGACAAAATGGCCTGTCACGCAAAAAAGGTACAGGAGCTATTTTCAGGTGGTTGTTCGCGGTTTCGGTCCCATAGAATATCTATGCATTGAAAACCGTGTGACAACCGTGCGGTTTTCAAAGAACAGTCACGCAAACGAATACATGCGAAAACCGCTCACCATCTCAGTCGCCTAGGTGTGCACCTAGCCTAAGAAGCAACAGCACTTCGTGAAGTGAACATAAAGGGCAACACGTAATAGATCAAGCAATATACTTGCTTTTATGGTAACCTTGCGCTGTGGTTCCTCCTACCACCTGATACCTCGCTATAGGATGTATGAGCCAGCAGGAGGAACCGTAATAGACAGTGCGGGTAGTAGGTATTTAGCTCACCCAAAGTGTGGAATATCTGCAAAAGCGGGGGGTGGGGGGGATGACCCCATATATATGCAAGTACAGAGGTGGGTCTTATTCTGTGCTGCCACATATGTGCATATGGCCAGCAACGCTGTTTTGTGCTGGGTGTGCGCTCAATTAAGCGCTGCGCAAACTGTTGGTGCTATATAAATCCTGTATAATAATAATTGCACGCCCCCAGCCAATCACAGTGATCAAATGATTGGAAGCCCATGAGGAATGCTGAATTAGGTTTTACTTGCTTAGAAGAACGTTACATGTATATATAGGAATACAGCATTGTGCAGGAAAAAAAAATATATATGAAAACTTCCTCAGTATCATAGATAAGCATGCATATAGAAAATTAACATTGCACCACAGCCAGGGCCGTATTTCCCACAAGGCCAACCGAGGCCCAGCCTTGGCGCAGCAGGGAGTAGAGGGGCAACAGGGGTGTGGAATTCCTATCTCCTGACGCCTGGGGCATGCAGTTCCGGGCGCCGGGCGGATAGTTGTTTTCTACATTTAGCCCTGCTTTGGGCAAGCAGGGCTAAATTTACAATGGGGAAGCCGCTGCTTGTTTTGTACAAGTGATCCCGTCGATGTCGCCGAGATCACTTGTATGTAGCTTGCATACAGGGGGGCGCATTGAGGAACCTGGCCTTGGGGCAACAGAGAGAGTAAATCCGGCCACAGCGCACAATCAGGCCAAAAGACACAATAGTACATTAGAATGTCAGTAATACAATCAGTACATATCAGCATATGCTGTTGCATTTCCAATGGCCCAGTCCATTGATTACTTAGATCTCTTAAAGAAACGGTGGGAATCTGATGGTAAGGGGTTTAACAAAGACCATGTATTCAGGGTTTAACTTTATACCTACAGCTCTGCAAATAGCTTGATATAAATATTATCACAAGCTGTCACTCCAACTGTCCCGTTAGCTTTGTGCTGTGAAATGCCCCCGACTAGGATATTCCTTTACAAGAATAAAAAACAAATCCCTTCTGTATTTGCATAGGGTTTTGTCATTTATAACCCTAGTCAATGAGTGGCTTGATTCCCATTCACCTGCTGATACTTGTATTTGATGCTAGTAAGCATGTGACTGCAGAGCAATATACTGGCATCACATGTAACAGAAAACGCATAGATTAAGGAATGTTTACTTTACAGGAAAAACAGCAATGTACTAGCGCAGCTCAAATAGTGCAGTCTAAAGTTTAAATGGAAAGTATTGTGTTTTTGTATATTTTTTTTATTATGTTGACGACTAAACATTTTAAGAATATTTATTTTATTTTGAAACATGTTTTTAATATTTATTTTATTCTAAAACATTTAAATAAATATTTATTTTATTTTTAAACATTTTAATCATATGCATTTTATTTTAAACATTACCGCAGGTAAGCTCCAACCCCCCCGTCCCCATCAGGAAGTTCTCTCCACTGCAAACCCCCCCGCCGGCTACCTTTCACGCCGCCGGACAGCCGCAAATCCGTGAGGAGAGAGCTTCCCTTCCTCTCAGCTGTCACAAGAGTTCTAGCTCTAGTTAGACACAGGCAACACGGGCATCAACCTAGGGGCGTCTTATGGTCAGCTGCGTCTAATGGAGTGAAAAATATGGTAATTTTATTTTAAAACATTTTAATTTTATGCATATTTATTTTTAAACATTTTAGTAATATTTATTTTCTTTTTATCGGGCAATTATGAAACATTGTATATGACTATTTATTATTTACCACTGGCATCCAGTTATCTTGCCACTTTGCCGTGAATTAATTGTTATTACTCACCACCAGCACCCACCCCCCTCCTTCTCTAGCTCATACTTCTCAGTTTGATGTTTCAGATGGACAAAGCCAAAAAATAAGCAGCCACTGCTGGAGTTTCTTATGGGAAAACCCAGCATGCTCTGCAAGGACGGTACCATGGAAGGACCCTTTTTTAATGTTAATTTCTAAAACAATTCCATGCAACTAATTAAAAATATGAGGCCAGTTTATAAACTTATAACATTAACATTGACATTGACATTGACTTCTGTCTGTGTTGCAGTTTAAAATTTTCCTTTAAAAATGTTCCTCTTTGCCACCCTAAGCACAGGCAAGTGTATCATGGTAAATGCTTTCTTTAGACTCAACACCACATTGTTGGAATCATCTTGCACTGATTCTTTTCTATTCCAGGCCCTGAAGTTGCCGCATGTTGAGTACATTGAAGAGGATTCCTATGTGTTTGCTCAGAGTGTCCCTTGGAACCTTGATAGGATTGTTCCTGCTCCGCATGTGGGGAACCAATTTAACCCCCCAAGTAAGAATCTTACTTATAACTTTATTTAAAACTGAACTCCAGGCAAAGAGCTAAATACACAGATAAAATACATATGATGGTACAGGCGCCCAATCGTTTGTACCCAGCAGCAGTGTGTGCCCTCCGCTGCTAGCCTCCCTGGGCTCTGGTGTCTGGCACACGTGTCTCTCCGCATCAATCGGAGGGAGATCAGCCAGGTTCTAGCCGCTGACCTCTCCTCCAATCACTGGACCCGGAAGTGATGTGTGGTACATCACTTCCAGTGTCGCTGTTTACATTCTCCGGCTTCTGTAGCCAGGACAAGAAGCTGGAGAAGCAGATCTCTGCTTCATCACCTTATTTGGGCTCCCTAGGTGGCATTAGGGGTAAAGGAGAACTATGGGGCAACATTTTTTCCATAGTTCTCTTCTGGGTCACGGGAGCACAAATACTATGTCCTCTCATGACCCAAGACTCAGCATATAGTGGGCTATTGCCCGCTATAAGCAGAAAGTGCCGCAGACGGGACGGATCCCGACAATACTGTCAAGATCCACCCAGCTGGCTGATTGACAGCTGGCTCTGCCGCTCTAGAGGCAGAGCCAGCTATGCCCGTCCCTACAGTCAGCGATGGAGGACCGGAGAGGTGAAGGGGGGATCCCTGCGTGGAGCGGTGACTGGTAGTCACCGCTCTCTGCAGGGAGATGAGCAGATCGGCTGTATGTTTTCACTCACTTCCCAATCAATAGAGCTGATGCTTGACAGTTTCAATGTCACATGTTGGCTCTAACTATGGGAATGAGTGTAATTCCCTCACCCCATAGTTCTCCTTTAAAGCCTGCTTCTGATTAGATTTAAGAACTGCACCTACAAATATTTATATATACTGTACTTACATTGGCTGATGCCCCACGGAAGGGCCATGGGAATCCTGTAAAACACTGTAGTAGCTGTTGCTACTATAGTGCTGATAGCAATCTCTCGGGTGCCGGCAGAACGCTGTCGTCACCTGGTGATTGTCATGACTGCGGCTGTCAGAGTCTTGCAATGCTTCATGGGACTTGTAGTTCCAAAACAACTGGAGTGCCGAGGTTGCCTACCCATAGGCTACAAACTCTAAGCAAAGCATGAAGAGGCACTGATTAAAGCAAGGATGCAGCGCATAGGAGCAGAGTGCAAAACCCAATAGTTACGGCATATACCACCATAGGTAATGTTTTGCCCCCAATGAATGGCAGAGAAATTGAAATAGACATGTATTCAACACACTGTGTTCAGCATCTGGTTAGCCATTACTTTTGTCACTGTCATCCATTGAAATTTGGGATGTGTAAATGAATATGTTTTTCTTTTTAGATACAGGAGATCTGGTGGAAGTGTATCTCCTGGACACCAGCATACAGAGCAATCACAGGGAGATTGAAGGGAAGGTTCTTGTCACAGAGTTTGAGAATGTTCCAGAGGAAGATGGCACCAGATTCCACCGGCAGGTCAGTCATGTTCTACTGAAGATTGTTAAAATAGAATGCACTGTATAAAAATGAAAAGAAAAACTAAACAACATTGCTAATCCATATCTTATCCAACATCAACATCCAATTTTGTAGTTTTGGACAGGTGATGTCAGGTTGAAGTCCAAACCAGTATCATGTATATAATGGGGACCCTGGTGGAAAGTTCTCAAATGTTCATGTCCTAGTTCTAAAGTTGCCTTACACACTGCAAGGGGGCTCATTTTGGGTTCAAATGATGGGTTCCTGTGGAATTACATGAAGTTATTGCAAGAAACCAGAGAAACATAAAAGGTTATCTTCTATGGGGCCAGTTTAAAATCCAACTTGAACATTCTTATGGATTTGCACATTAGAAAGTACAGCTTTTCTTGTTGTTCCCCCCACCCACACTCACACACGGCTTAATGTGACCTCATCAGGACAACATGGCAACCCCCTCCACAATATTTCCCATTTTTTTGTAAAGAAAAGTAGTAGGGGTTAGGAGTTAATGTTCCAGGCACTTTTTATATGTGTCAGAACTGGAGCAACTCTCCTAACGTAGACTAATGATTGCACATTAGTCTGCTCTGCCTGAAATTAATGTATAAGGTATTGTTATGAACTAGTAAGCGATCATAAGGACCCCTTTACGAGGCAGTTCACTTTGTGGGTGATCCTAGTTACAAATACTGTTTTATCAGAGATCCTTTTTATAGTATGCATGGCTTCATACCTATCCATTGCAGCAGGGAATAGTCACAACTTCATTTTACTGCACATTACCAGAACGTACGTGTACAGTAGCTGCCAACATACCTGCAGTACAATGCATATAGCATGCATTGTACTGAACTGTGTTGCTGAAAATGATGCAGGTACCTTTTTTATGTGCATTATAGCACATGCATTACAGAATGCACTCGTGAGAAGGGACCATAAAGCCCATCAAGTTAAATTAAAAAGGGGGTAAGCCAACAAGTTGGCTTACATAGTTACATAGTTAGTCAGGTTGAAAAAAGACACATGTCCATCGAGTTCAACCTAGCTTAGAGCTATAGAGCTTAGTATGGGTGGACTGACCACTTTAATTTACAAATACATGCAGTTAATCTTTTAACATTCTATAAAAAATTATTAATTCTGTAGTTTGTAATCTGTTGAATGTATAGGTCATTAGTTACATGAGAAGCTCAGAGACTGCATCACACATGGACATGAATTTACTTTCTGGATTTGCTCCCTAATTTAATTACATAGAATCAGGGCCATCTTTAATACTGATTGGACCCTGGGCAAACATTTTCTAGGGCCCCCACTTCTACCCACCCCGTCCCCCTAACCAACCCCGCCCCCTGCCATGCAATTTCGCCCATGTATACGCCTATATGACAGGGGTGGAGCAACACTATGCAATACCGATCGCACAGTAAACAGAAGAGTGGCCCGGGTGTATCTTTTGCGGGCTCCAGGGCAGGGCCGGTGCAAGGATTATTGTGTACACAGCTGAGGGTGCATTTTGCACCCCCTCTTCCCTCCCCGGTGCCCTCAGACGACTGTCTATGCAGACTTACACTAGCACTAACTAGCGTGTAGTGTCCCTCATCATATGTACATGGAAGCATGTAGTGACCCGCATCACATACAGACAAGAAGCATGTAGTGACCACCATCACATACAGACAAGCAGAATGTAGTGACCCCCATCACATACAAGCAGCCTAGTGACCCCTCTCTCTGGACGTTTAGTGTTCCCTAATACACAAATGCACATTCCAGCACACACATACACACAGCATGGAGGGGCAGGTCACCGGCTCTGCAATTATCTAGCACTCTGCTGTCAGTGCTGAGATGCAGGGCCAGTGGTAGAAGTTTTGCAGCACAGGACCTGCTCAAGGGGCAACTGCTTTGGGCCCCACAACAATGACTGGGCCCTGGGCAGCTGCCCCTTTTGCCCTGTGTTAAAGACAGCCCTGCATAGAATGCAAAATTTGGGTTTAGCAAAAACACTGTACAGAACACCCAAACTGCGATGATATCAGTTATGTATTTATTTTGCAGGCTAGTAAATGTGAAAGTCATGGAACACATATGGCTGGAGTTGTAAATGGAAGGGATGCGGGAGTTGCCAAAGGTGTTAATCTCCGCAGCCTGCGAGTACTAAATTGCCAGGGTAAAGGGACAGTGAGTGGCAGTCTAATGGGTAAGTATATCTCCAGATGATGTTTTAAATTGTTGACTGGGTTTAAAGCACAGCCATTACTATATCTACTCTGGACTGTATTTACCACCACAGGCATAGGGCAATGACACTCTGCTATGCAAATAATTCTCCTAAAAACTAAAGCCTAAAAAATGGATATCAGAGGTCACATTTTATAAATAGAGAACTACCATTACACTGTGCGGTCTATCTATAAAGACTCTAAATGAAAAGACAACTGTGTGTTGCTGGAACTGCAGAAAGTCCTGTGACTCCTCTCAGCTGCCTTTTGTACTCTTCCCAGTCCAATAATTTAGATGAATTCACCCTTAAAGGAGAACTATGGGGTCAGGGCTTTTCCCCATAGTTCTCCTTAGGGTAACGGGAGGACACAAACTAGCATCCTCCCGTCACCCTCGGCTCAGTATACCGCGAGCTACAGCTCGCGGTACACTGAGACGCCACAGTCGGAGCGGATCCCAACATCGATGTCGAGATCCGCCCAGTTGCGTGAGTGACAGCTGGCTCTGCATATCTAGAGGCAGAGCCAGCTGTACCCGCCCCCTCCCCTGTCCGTTCCGCCAGTCAGCGCTGGCGGATCGGAGCGGGGAGGGGGGAATCCAGCCCCTCCCCTGTCACGGCAGAGAGCCGTGACAGGATCGAGAGGTGAGCGAACGCCGGTATGTGTTCGCTCACCTCCCGATCTACTGAGCCGACCTGTGACAGTCTCATTGTCACAGGTCGGCTAGAACTATGAGGTGAGTGAAAAGCACTCACCTCATAGTTCTCCTTTAAGTCTTTAAAGGTGCCCAAGCAGGTCTACAATGCAAAATGAATGTCATCACAAATCATAGGCATTCGCAGCCTATTGCATTAGGGTGTGCACACAAAAGTACAAACACACATGCGTATATACACAGCCACGCTCCCTTGCAGCTTCCCAGGCACTGAGGACTGTGGTTGTTATGTAAGGAATGTAAGTGGCAAGTAATCCTGCGTTCTGTATCGCTGAGCCGGTCACAGAAAGATCTTTGTGATGTCTCCACGGGCTCAGTGAATAATGGTGCCCACTGTTGCAGTTTTGGTGTTGCGCCCGAGGTGATTAGGGTGTGCCCAGGCACACTCTGTGCGCATGCCTATGTCACAAATTGTTGGACTCTGGTGCAGTTGTGGCCTTAGGAACTTTCCTATGAGTGTCTGTATGGCAAAGGAAGTCCTTAATCTGATTTTCCTGAAATCATCCGTTATAAGTGGCCCATACAGGATTTCCTCAGACATTTTAAGTGTTTTCACTTGTTATCCATTTATTCTTTTGCATCATTTGGTTAATATAATACCACCCTACTTAACAGAAACACCACAGTAACTTTTAGCAAACATTAAAATTGCAAAACATATAAAAAAACTTAATTTATGTTCTTCAGGTCTGGAGTACATCAAGAAGACGTTGCTTGAGCAGCCATATAGCCCCCTGATCATCCTTATCCCCTTTGTTGGGGGATACAGTCGAACACTCAATATGGCCAGCCGTACGCTCATCAAATCTGGTGTGGTGATCATTGCAGCGGCTGGAAATTATAAGGATGATGCCTGTCTGTATTCCCCAGCATCTGAACCAGAGGTGTGAAATACTAATGTGGTCTAGTTTGGAGTTTATGTCACTAGAAATCAAGGATCAACCCTAGTAGGCCAAAAAGGAAGACATTTCTTCAGTGCTCATACTGCAACAGTATCAAACGGTGTTAATAAATAAAATCCAAATGAATCTCTTATGAAATGACAAATACTGTGAAACAAGCCCATATAAAGCAAAGGTTTGTAGTAATTCTAACAAGTTCCTTAGTGATAAATACAATCCAAATTGATCTATTATATACTGATACATAATGTGAAGCAATCCCACATAAAGCAAAGTTCTTAAGTGATTAAAACAAGAGCACGCGTGTTCCACCCATGGATCAAGAGGTTGCAGTAGGAGCACTTTTGGGTTTTTGAGGAAGATTTCTTTCTGCTGCTTAGTTTCTCAGTATTGTTTGATATGTGTCACTAGTGTTGATTATCACATTTTTTATCATTTGTGTATAGTAATGGTTATTCTTTAGTGAGCGCAACACTTTATTGTATCTATTCAGACTAACAGTTTAAGTCTGGGCAGCTTAAAGGCCATCTCCACCCTAAATGTTTTCAGGTCTGTGGTGTTGCTGGGAATTAGATTAATGTTGCAGTCTTATATGTAATCTTATATGTAATTCAGACTTGAGGTTTCTCATCCTCATCTCAAACAAATAACTGTCTGCTGCACTGTGGTGCCTTCATAGTATCCTTATAAGAGGGAGGGGGGAGTATTACCAAATGCTGCAAGGAAAACTACAATTTGATGTTTAGTTTACTAATCTGTATTGAGATTGTAGTCCATCACGGGAGTGAGTTTGGAGCGGTGGCTACTTTACAACACACACATGGACCATAAGGAACAAAAGTAGCCACCCTCCAGAAGGAAGGACAGTGTCAGTCCAAATGAATTGATTGATTTGAGGATCTACAGCTGAGTGATACACAAATAAGGTGCAATATTGTTAATAGTTAAGGTATTTTAATCCATTTTTAAGATTTAACTTTAACTTTTAAGAGATCTTAGAAACAGGCAGGAGATGAAAAAGCTCTAATTTAATTAGCACCCTGTCATAGAATTAGCTGCAATAACACTTCCTTACTAAAGTCAGCAAAGACACCCAGATCCCAACATTTCAAGGTACTATGACAGTCATTTATATAGCAAGCTTTGCTGGTATACCAGAAATCAAGAATTTGTTTTTTACTTTAAGTTTTATTTGTAACATGCAGTGCTACAACATACACTAGACTTTTGAGAAATGTATCACTTTGCCTTTTTTTAAAGTTCTGTGAGAAATGTGATTGTTGTACTTTTCTGCCTCGTACAGGTTATAACTGTTGGAGCCACTAATTATGAGGACCAGCCAGTAACAATGGGAGTGCTCGGTACAAATTTTGGGAACTGTGTTGACCTGTTTGCTCCAGGAGAGGATATTATTGGAGCCTCTAGTGACTGCAGCACTTGCTTTATATCTAAGAGTGGAACTTCACAAGCAGCAGCACATGTGGCAGGTATGGGCAAGTACAAATGCTGCGGGTACCATTTTAGCTGCACACATGCACTACAGAATGCACAAGTATGAAGGGATGCTAAAAGGTTGTGCAAACTGCAATGGCTTTATGCAAATTACAGTAACCCATGGCACTTTACTTTAGTCACATCAGTAGAAAACTATGATTAGTTGCTTGAAATTCTGCATGTGTTCGTTTTGTTATACCTGTGTATCTCACTATAGAGAGTATCACTGGGGAGCTTCTTTGGGCCTAATTGGTGAATAATCTGTTAGCTATTGGCCTTCTAACCTTTATTGTTATGGGAAACCCACTGCAGAGGCCTGTACCATCTTAGCACAATAACTAACACTGTATCATAATCATTACTGTCATACAAATCTGACAGAGCTACTTGAAGTCTGTATACAAAGAATGTATTATACTGCAAGCTAGTTATATGTCCTCTTTGATCTATAGTTGAAAGGTCAATCATGACTCCAGCAACACACTTAGTTGCCTGTAGTCTTCACATTTTTCTGCAAGGGCATCGAACAGATGATATCATTACGATTAAACCGAGATGTTCAATACAGGGTTTCTCCGCTGTTAGGAAAATGGTACAGTATTGTCTACATTTTAGGGATGGGGGGGTCTTTCCTCAGAGCCATGCTGGCTGGCAGACAGAATCACATGGCAGCCATACAGAACCACCAACAATGGGTCTGCTTTTCAGCTGAAGAAAGTTGACTCAATTCCAGCCTCCGGAATCTACTGAAATCAATGGATTTCCAAAGCAAAAGCTGTATTGTCTTTCTACTGCAGCCATCTAAAAGTACTTTGGGGATACTGCTGTGTGTGCCAGTTTTTTTAATATCCAATGATCTCAGAGTGCAATATTTTACTGAAAGTGAAAGCCCCTCTAGGACTTCAGTTATAAATAAGGTAGTTAATAGCACTGGTGTACAAAGTGCACGTTATGGTGTTTATGTATTGACATATTTGCTATTTCTTCTGCCAAAATTAAGTGTTGGTCACCATTATCTAAATGTGTGTTCTAGGTATAGCAGCAATGATACTGAATGGCAAACCAGACTTGACTGTAACCGAACTGCGACAGCGGCTCATCCATTTCTCTACTAAGAGCGCCATTAATGAAGCCTGGTTCCCTGATGACCACAGACTTATCACTCCCAACAGGGTTGCTGGATTACCAGTTAAACTAGCCAGTGGTAAGACACTATAACCAAGAACATCATGGCATCCATGGCTTTCGCCCCTGCCCAATTTGTTGCCTTTGCTACATTTGTCCACAGGTCTGAAAGAAGAATTGTCTCAGACAAGTTGTTCAATTCATTGTACTGGAGAGAATATCTGTTTGGTTGATTTGTTCTTAAAAATGACTTTTATGTTGGCTTATACGTGTTTTTCATTTTCTACTGTTATGAGACTAACCCATAGATTACGTTTGTCTCATTTGGAGCTCATTGAGATCAGTGTATTTCAAATAAGGCAACTGTGAACCAGGGGTTAACCTCATGTGACAAAGCAATTACAAGTATCATGTGCAGTTGTGACCCATGCATGAAAGCTGAACTGATAAAAAGACTATAACTGTGTCTTACCTTCTTTGTTAGATGAGGAGCTCTTGTGTCGAACAGTTTGGTCCAAACCATCAGGCTTTGCCCGAACAGCAACAACCTCTGTCCAATGTACTGAGAAAGAGGAAATGTTCAGCTGTTCTAGTTTCTCTAGAAATGGAAAAAGGAAAGGGGAGCAAATAGAGGTAGGTGTACAGAACTTTTATTTTGACTTGAGAGTGCAAAGTACGCGTTTGCTTTCAAGGCAAGTGCAACAAACCTGCTATTTCAGTGCTGGCAAGCTGAATCAGTTGATGACATCCCATCTTTCTCTTGGATTCTGTCGGGGATAGAGCTGCCAGAATTACTGCAGGGAAATCTAACCAATAGAGTCTCAAATGATGTACAAAGCTGGCATGTAATTTAAACAACCAGTGCTTAAGGAATGGAATGTGGGCTTCAGAAAGACACGGTAATACCCTCAATGTACCCTTCACACTAAGCAAGGTGAGGCTTGTAGCTCCCAAACACCGAGAGCTCAAAGTTGGTCATGCCATTTCTCAATCACACCCTCTGCAGTTAATATTCAATTCTACTGCTGGATAGCATGCACATCCCAGAACTCGGACTAAACCTCCACTAGCTCAATTAAAGCTGACATGTGACACATCCAGCATTCAGTTTAGCAAACTGCGGTGTAAGCTGGATCATCATAGCACTTGGCAGGAGTATGGAGCATGTGCCAAGTCCTTTGTTTGCTATGCTAAATCTATTTTTGTAGCTGAGCTAATTTTTATAATGTGTTAACTTAAAAATGTTACTTTCTTCAATATCGATATATTTATTCAATAATATTTAGCATCCAATTAGAATTCTTCTTCTACTGATCTGAATTCAGTAAACTTTAATTTGATGACTGCTATTTATTACCGCCCTTTGAACTGTCGTATTACACAAGCCCAACATTTGTTTGTTTTGTTGACACACTACAGAAAGCCATGCTTTTAAATGGATTGTGCTGGTCAAGCTTCTGGAAGATACCCGGGACTCATGATATTGGCTGTCTTTCTTTAACATATAGGATAAGGATGGTAAGAAGACCTGCACTGCCCACAATGCATTCGGAGGTGATGGAGTATATGCTATTGCAAGATGCTGTGTTTGGCCCAAAGCAAACTGCCAGGTTAATTCCAGTACTCCTGATGATACAAACACCATGACCACTGCCAGCTGTTTGGAGGAAGACCATGTTCTAACAGGTACAAACTAATAATTTAAAGCAAACTCATACATGGACTTGATGTACTTCGTAATTGGCAAAAAAGGACACGACTGATAGAATTGATAGCATTTCCCAATGCAAGGAAGAAGCGCTAACCACTACGCCATTGTGTAACCTTATAAATTAAATTTACAGCAGAGCACTGCAGTGTAATGTATGTATGTGCTGCCATCCTTATAAATGGCACTTGAATCCACATACAAAGTGCACCGCATCGCCTGATGTTCATTGTGGTCCACTGCAGTTAAAGCAAACAGCAGCAATGATTTTTCCTGCATGAAAAAGCGCAGTTTTTGGGGCATTTTTTGTGGCCTTACAGTCAAAATACTTGATTATTTTTTAAATGTGTGAGCTAAGTACATTCGATCCACACGCTAATGTCTTTAGTAAATTGAACAATCTATTTTCAATGTAAAAAAACGTGACTCCCAGAGGCAGATGTGTAATGGGATTTGTGGTTTCACTCCATCAGAAGTACTGAGTTTGGTGTATAGTGTATGGTCATTAGAATTCTGCATGTGCTATCTCCTGCATAGACAAAGCATGGTAATGATTAAGAAAATACTCTTTCTAAGTAACTACTAATGTTCTCTATCTCAGGCTGCAGCTCTCACTCTCTGAATGGACATTTGGGTGACCATGTGAGGCCGGTTCACCACCCCGGCAAGAAACATCCAGTGTGTATTGGGAAAAATGAGATGACCTCTCATGCTTTGTGCTGTCATGCTCCAAGTATCGCCTGCAAAGTCAAAGAGCATGCTCCTGTGGGCTTTACTGAAAAGGTACTACTGTTTTTTATGTATTAGGTCCTATTGCTGCAATGCTAGATTATTTTTCTGATGCAACACAGGGGCGTTCCGAGGCCGGGTGTCACAGAGAGAGGAGGGGACGTTCACCCGGCAGGATGAGCTATGCCAACGGGTCCCCTTCTCTCTCCTGACACTGTCGGGCTCTCGGTCAGTACAACTCAGGGCACCCCTCCAATGGTGTCACCCGGGTGCGGGCCGCACCCCCCCTTATGACGCCACTGATGCAACAGAGCATCTTGATATTATGGAGGTTATATACTGCTTTACCTAATAAAGGGAATATGTAATGTCAGGAATATACTGAATAGGTTGCCATTGCTGACTTACCTTTCTGGAAATTATAGTTGCCTGGCTGTCATCCTGACCCTTTGGTCCCAATGATTTGATTGGCTTGGAACCTCTTGATTTCCTTAATCGGCATGCTTGTTCTGGTTCAGGTGCCAGCCAGCTCACATTTTCAGAAGAAATGGCAATAGCCCATGTCAGGCATGCTTCAAAGACCAATTTCAGCTTGGGCCAAATAAGTATTATAATATAGGATTTATACAGCGCCAACAGTTTGTGCAGCACTTCAAAATATACAATTTCAGTACAATTGGGTTAGGAGGGCCCTGCTCTTGAGAGCTTACAATCTAATATGTTTATAATAACATATGTAATGTATCTCACAGCAGCTCTTCAAAATAAAGAAGCTCTGGCTGCAATGCTCACCCTATCTCCAGCATTGTCATTCGCAGACTCACCCATCCATGCAGTGTCATGGTATTCTGGGTTAAATGACGCTCACTGTCAATCAACCCCCTTCCTGTTAGCCCAGGGCGTCAAGGCTCCACCCCCACCCTGGACTCACAGGGAAATTCTCTTTTCTGCTGGCATGGGGAGCATGGTGAGCCTGGAGACAGGCTTTAAATGTTACCAACCAGTCATGGAGATATTTTCCTTGATTGCAATGATACAATAAAACTAACATTACTGTTGTTTGCAATGCAGGTGACGGTGTCATGCGACGATGGCTGGGCCCTGACTGGTTGCAATGGCTATTCTCGAAGCTCTACAGCTCTTGGATCATATCCTATTGATAACACTTGCGTTGTTTTAAATCCAAAAGGCGGTAAAGGAGCTGCAGCTATTGCAATTTGCTGCCAGAACAAAAACACAGAGAGCAATCAGAATTCAAACTATAGGTGAAAATCTGTTTCTATAGTGCACCCGTCACATACACATGCTGAAGGCAATCATAGCGCTGGATGAACTTACATGTTATTGAATGCAGCTCGTCAGTTCGACTCAGGGCAGTATTAGACATATAACCAAACCTCCAAGTAAACAAACTTAAAGGACTCCACAAAGCTCTATATGACCACAGAAGATAACAACTGCCCTTGGATAATGCTATTTTGGGTCATGCAGCTCTAACAGTCATACACATATTGTGGATTTTCAATATTTGTACCTGAAGGTGGCCTCTTCTCTCTGAATCAGAACCAAAGATAATACCACAAAATAGAAGGAGTATTCTTTCCTGAGCATTATGTGTCAGTTATGATGAAGCTGTGGTTGGGGTGGCGGCAGATGTGGCTCCTTAGGACCCTAAAATTAGGGCAGACACAGACAACAAATTATTCTGGTTTTTGTAGATCAGTCAATTTGCAGACAAGCCACGTTCCCCGCTTCGAAAAATATTGACCCATATATCTAGAAATGGTAACAGTTTTGTCATTTGAAACATCTACGGTGTCCATTTTAAGACATACTTCTGCCCCTCCAAATCTTGCCCCTTCTACAAAACATTGTCCTCCTCCAAAGCCCAGTCGTTTCTCCCACAAAGATAGGTCAGTTTATGGGTTGTTTTCCTTAGATCTCCTCCAAACCTTCATCAGATGTCACTTTTGTAGTTCCCAAGTGTCCTACTTTCTGCAGGCCCATCCCATGGAATAAATTGTCCCATTTCCCCATGCCCCATGGAATGTCTCAGTGGCCAGAGGGGCAGCAGATTTGTTTTTTATGTTCTTAATAAAAACTAATGTACATTTAAAGCTGTTGGGGTTTTCATTCCTTTAACAAGATTCGGAACATTGGATACTGTAGTGGTCCAGAAGACGTTAGGAGAGCAGCACAGTGATACTGGAGGTGACATATTTTCTTCTGGGTCACAGAGTTTCTTTCCTGCCTGGTCCCAGGTCGATGCAATATAATGCAGCACATCTCCCTTTAGCTAGTTTTGCCTCTATCTCCCTGGTTTAATGCTTTACGGCACATGTTTTCTTTAAATCCAGGCTCCAGGATAAGCAAATATTGTCTGAAAACAAGTCATGTGTTTTTTTTCCTTGAATCTTGGAGGTCATTTTATAAAAGTTCCACCTGGCCTATAGTTGGATGGATGCCATTCGCATGGTACTATTGCCCTTAGAAGGTGCTGACAAGTATAGGACAATCCTATACTCTTCAGGGCCATCTGGGGGCGCTAGCGTTGTGTTAGCGGCATCCTTTTGGCTATACACTGAGTGGCCAGATTATTAGGACCACCCCATCAGTACTTCGTTGGGCCACGAGATGACTCCATGAGATGACTTAGTTGGGCTGCCTCGTGACTCCACGAGATGTTGAAAGGTGATGCGAGGAATCTGACACTGCACTGTTGACCTTCTGTTGTCTTGTAGCAGTCTTGCCAGTCTCTGTTCTGCCCTAACATTGGCTAGTCGCTGATGGCCACAATTCGCACGTTCAGACCCAGTTTTTCGGCTGACAGTCCAGTCTTTAAACACTTTAACAACAGCTGCTCTTGAACATTTAACGAATTCTGCTGTTTTGCTGATACTCGCTTCATGGCTCCGAGCGCCAACAATCATCCCACGTTCAAAGGCTGTTAAATCGCGTTGTTTACCCGTATCTTCAGAAAAAAATCACTTCTACTGTCGTGGTAAACAACCTGCTTCCCTATTTATAATGGTCTGGCCCTCTAGTAACTTCAGCGACAAATTATAGCTAATTTGCCTACAAACGTCAGGTGGTCATAATAATCTGCCCACTCAGTGTATTCCGGGCAGAGCTTTGAACCTCTTGGTATGTTTGTGTTGTGTATGTCTTCCAGATATGTGCAGCAATCCAGTGGTAAACCATTTCTCTGTAGGAGCTTCCTGTAAAAAGACCGGTCACTTCTGCTCCCCCTCCTTGTGCAGGGTGACTGGTCTTGTATCCACCTTCTTCTGTAGTTTTCTGCAGGCAGCCTGTAGTGGGTGGAGCCTGATGGGTGCCTCCCACTGCTCTCTGCACAGGCTATATACAGCACAGTGATGATGTCATTGCTACTTTTAGAAAGTTATATCTGGGTTTTATATGACATTTGGTAAGTCCACACAAAGTGGATTTATATCCTTTGTGGCTATTGAGTAATGCATTTGGATTAAAGTTTTTCCACCCAGAATCCAGCTTTAATCTCCCCATCAGAGGTATCCCAGGTGACAGAACTGTACTGCAGTAAACACAGTCCCATCATAATCAATGCTAGGGTAATGCAACCTGCATCATATTGTACATATTGCCCGTTATTGGAAGTATAGATTGCCAGAACTACAGAGGAAAAAAGATTTGGGGGTGCTCATTTCAGATTATTGCAAAATGAACAAACAGCATGGCCAGACAGCAGAGAAAGCAGCGAGTCCGGAGACGGGCAATAAAAAAATATGCAAGGCCCAAGGAACAAAACATATCATGAGAGACTGGAGGAACTTAATATGTAGAGTAGGGGTAGGCAACCTCAGCACTTCAGCTGCAGTGAAACCCATCCTGCTTCTGCCTCTAGAAGTCATGCCTGCGGCTGTCAAGAGTTTTGCCACAGCTGGAGTGCCGAGGTTGCCTACCACTTATGTAGAGCCTCGAGAACGGGCTTGATCTTTTCCTTCTGTCAGTCTTCTATGTTCCTATTGGAGCACTAAAGCCCAGTTCTGATGGCAGAGCAGGTACAGTACTTAGCTAAGCCCTTGCTAGCAGTATGGTAACGTTTCCTATCCCACCCCAACACGGCATTAGGGGACCGCGCGTTTCATTGCAGGCGTGCGAACTGTGCACTCAAATGAATGGCAACCCAACACACCTCCCACACCAGAATGTACGGTAGGTGCGATTGTGTCATACAGTTTAACACACTATGGGCCCTCAAAAGCGCACACACACCAAAATGTTTTTAATTTTTTTTTTTTGTAACGCCCACCCAGTCTGGCCATGTCACTAGAACTGGAGTGGATCCTCAGCCTGGGGTCCAGTCTGGGCTGCTGTGCTGGAGCTCCATCCATATGTGCATTGCTGGTACAGCTCCCTTGCATTTCCTGTAGATGCCGGGAGCCAGAATGTGACATCACCCCGGCCCAGGCACCTCTACAGGACACGTGAGGGAACTGTTAGGCTGCGTTCACACCTGACCGTTTTGTAGGGCGTTCTACGCTCGACGAACGCTCTACAAAACGGTCAAAAATATAAATTGCATTGTAGTCAATGCCCTCGTTCCCACCTCGCCGTATTTCCGCCCGTCCCTAACGCCCTACAAAACGGCCCACGCCTGAAAAGGTCCCGGGACTACTTTGGGCCGTTTTGTAGGGCGTTTTCCATTTGGATACTGCCAAGTAGCCTTTGGAATCGCGCGACTTTTTTACCGCGAATCGCTGTAAAAAAAACCGCGTGACGGTCGTGCGACAGACGCGCATATTACAATACGCCTAGGTGTGAATGGGGCCTAAGCTAGGGGGAGCCTCTCACCTAGAAAAGTGGAAGACATGCGGAGACCCACCAGTTGAGAACCAAGGGTATAGAGAATGATGAATCATCGTTCACAGCAAGTTATGGCAGCGGATTTATTTTGTACATTACATTCATTTTCAGCGTGTCTGCACAGCAGTTACATTTTCATTAAAACAAAGTCATGAATCCTGAATAATGTGATACGGATTCCCCAAATGACATCTCAGGCAGAGTAGTGATATACACCAGCAGAGGGAGAAAAGGGGATTTTGGAAGTTCGTCAGGACCACTAGCGTATTTTCAGCCAATGTTGTAACATCTGAAACAAATTTTAATGCAACTTTCAAATTTTTAGGGTTGCTGTTCCATGTTTTGATTATAGTATTTTACATACAGGTTTGTAAATTCTCCCCGTAGTGGGCATCTGTATATCAAGGAATGTGATGAGGGGGCTGTACAACAGCTGCACATGATTCGATCATTCTGAGCACCCCAAAGCTAGAACACCCAATTTAAATATTGACTTTTAGGTCTGATATTGGAGCTCTGGGAGGTCTCTGCAATGTGTCTTTCTGTAAGTTGAGGTTTATACATTGCAGTGAAGGATGTAAGGGTTAGAAGAAGGGATGGGTGATGCTACACATTGGATGTTAGAACAGTAAGCTGATATTTACATACCGAACACTTAGGGGTTTATTTATAATCAATTTGCAGAACTATTTGCCATTCGAATTTTTGAGAACATTCGTTCTGTGCAAATAGATGCAAAAATCACTCTGTGTATTTTCTTTTCAGGTCAAATGTAATATCATCATATAGCCACTAGATGGCGCTCCAGCGTCTGCTCCATCTAGTGGCCATAATGCAGTATTACATTACATACGTAGGTCATTATCAAGGGTTAGAATACAAAAAAACCTCTGGTATTGCCTCTTCGCACAGAATGAATGTCCTAAATGATTTGGAGGGTGATGTCACGATACTTTAATAAATAGACAACCTAAGGGCTTGTTCACACCAAGTGCGGAGCAGAGCAGTTACAGAACATATAAAAAATGCAAAGTATTCCAATAGTATTTTGGGCTCTAGTTCACACCGCAGCGTTCAGTTCCAGAGCATGTGGAAAAACTGCAGCATGCCCTATTTTTTGTGCTCTGGAACGCACGGAAAAGCATGCAAACACCCAGGTCCGGAACGCGGCAAAAACACACTGCATGTGCAGAAACTCATGCAGGTCTGGTCCAGATTTGGTGTGATCAAGCCATAAAGGTTTGGTTCCCCCTTTGGAATAAACAAAAGGTGTGCATTTAACCCCTTCATGACTGAGCTTTTTAAAGTTTCTGTTAGTCAATGACTGAGAAACGTTTTACATTTTTACTGTGATTCTTTCACCCCAGTAATATACTTTCTTACTAAATGCAGCCACACATTTTTTATTGATTTTTTTTTTTTTAGAGGACAGATAGGGCTGTATATTTATATCAAATATGTGTGCTTAATGCCTCACTTAAGACAAATCTAAATTAAATTAAACATTTTTTTATGTGTTCTTTATTTGGAAACATCTCGCATCCCTAGGATTTTAGACATTTTTCTGTACTTC